CTACTTTCCCTTCCTCCCAACATGTTTCCTCAATGAGAACAAGTCAGAGTTCTAATGTTAATCATAGTGTTAAGAACTAATTTAAAATCTCTAAATTTGACATGAAACCACTTGACTTATTTTTTAAAACAACAGCATCTACGAGTTAATAGAACTAGTTGCCGAATGATAAAATTGATCTTTGAAAAGAAAGTAATATTTTAATGTTTTAAGTATGTTTATATAGTAAAAGTAGGGTAGGTTCATGGAGCTTGAATGTAGACAACAGATGTGTCACAAGTTACAATGTGTAAATATTGTTAGAAGTGCTGACTTCCCATAATAATGTATGATGTGCAGTACAGGAAAGACAGTCTATTGTGGATTAGATACACTTTGGTGCCTGGCATGGAACCGAATTCAGTGTGCCAAGTCTGGCCAGGTTTCACTTGAATCTTTTCACTCTAGTACAAAAATCTATTTTATCTGCTCTCCCATAGTGTCTCCTTACTCTTCATTTAGCCTACAGTAGAATGGATATGATGTCTGCCACTTAAGACTGCTTAAGGCAGCTGCCAGGCCCTGATGGATCCATCAGAAGAGGAACCTCTTCGTAAAGACCTTGAGGCAGCGGGTACTCATTCTCAGGACTGTGCAGCATCAAAAACCTACTAACTATAGACAGTTCAATCGCTGTAGTATAAGATCCTTAACTGTTCAAATACCTTAACTTACCTGACAAGGAGCTCTGGTGATACAGTTGCAAAGCACCTATCTATTAACTGAAAGGTCAATAGCTTGAAGCCACCAACCGCTCCACAGAAGAAAGATGTGATGCTCTGCTTCTGTAAAGAGTACAGCCTTGAAAACCCTGTGGAGCTGTTCTGTTCTGTCTGATAGGATCACTTTGAATTGCAGTCAACTCAACAGAATGCACTCTAGGTATACACTTAACAAGTAAACTTTGTATTATAGCATATTCTAGTGTATCCTTGTAACTACCTTATTTAATCTCAGTTGTAGTGCTAAATGCTACAGAAAAAAAGCACAAATACTAGAGGCTGCAAGTGTGTGACAATGCTGACCTTTCCCCGTTAACCCAATATGTTTTAAATATCTGACTCCATGGAATTTGATTTCATGCAGTTGAGAGTTAAGCCTTAAGATATCGTGAAAACTTTTGTATTTACACATTTCACATCTGTTTTCTTTCAGGGGTTCCCTCCATTGTAAGATGTCTTTGTATTTCTGAAAAAGGCAACCTGACAGCTCGCAAGACAACGGCTGAGGAACATCAGTGGTGCCTGAAGCCCATTTGACAGACTGCCTTTCACAAAGGAAAAACTCTCACTACTATTTGAAATGCTGAAGAAGTTGCTGCGAAAGAGACTTTTTTCTTATCCCACTAAATACTACTTCTTGGTTATCATTTTTTCCCTGGTCACCTTCTCAGTAGTAAGAATTCATCAGAAGCCCCAGTTTGTCAGCATCGGTGATCTGGAACTGACTGGGGAGAATCCTAGTAGTTATATCAATTGTACCAGAGTGTTACAGGGTGATGCAGATGAAATCCAGAAGGCAAAGCTTGAAATGCTAACAGTGAAATTTAAAAATCGCCCTCGGTTGACAACCCACGACTACATAAACATGACCAGGGACTGCGCATCCTTCATCAAGACTAGTAAATATATCATGGAGCCCCTTAGCAAAGAAGAGGCGGAATTCCCCATTGCATATTCCATAGTGGTTCACCACAAAATCGAAATGCTGGACAGGCTCTTGAGGGCCATCTACATGCCTCAGAATTTCTATTGCATACACGTAGACAAAAAATCGGATGATTCTTTCTTGGGTGCAGTGATGGGCATTGCGTCCTGTTTCGGCAACGTGTTCGTGGCCAGCCAGCTGGAGAGCGTGGTGTATGCGTCCTGGAGCCGGGTCCAGGCCGACCTCAATTGCATGCAGGACCTGCACAGAACGAGCACCACCTGGAAGTACCTCATCAACCTCTGCGGCATGGATTTCCCGATTAAAACGAACCTGGAGATCGTCCGCAAGCTCAAGTCCCTGATGGGGGAAAACAATCTGGAAACGGAAAAAATGCCCGCCAATAAGGAGGAAAGGTGGAAGAAGCGTTATGAAGTCGTGAATGGGATGCTCGTGAACACGGGGACTGACAAAGGGCGGCCGCCCATCCAAACTCCCATCTTCTCCGGCAGCGCCTATTTCGTGGTCAGCAGGAGCTACGTGGCTTATGTTCTTGAAAATGAGCGGATCCACCATCTCATGGAGTGGGCCAAGGACACTTACAGCCCCGATGAGTATCTCTGGGCCACCATCCAGAGGATGCCGGATGCCCCTGGTGCGCTCCCCGCTAGCCCCAAGTACGACTTGTCGGACATGCAGGCCATCGTGCGCTTCGTCAAGTGGCACTATTTTGAGGGCGACGTCACCAAGGGCGCCCCATACCCACCCTGCAGCGGGGTGCATGTGCGCTCTGTGTGCGTCTTCGGTGCTGGAGACCTGAAGTGGATGCTGCGCCAGCATCACTTGTTTGCCAACAAGTTTGACACCGATGTCGACCTCTTTGCCATCCAGTGTTTGGATGAGCATTTGAGACATAAAGCTCTGGAGCCCTTAAAACCCTTACCGTGGCAGGCCACTTGAGAACAGAGGGGCACACTGTGTGGGGTGCTTTTGGGGGCAGGGATTGTGCTATGTCTTTATGTCAGAGACTTCCCATGTTTTCTGACAAGGAGAACCTAGTAAAAAGCATTAAGCCTCCACCTACAGTTAAGCTGAAGGGGAGATTGGGAGCCAAGATTTTAACAGCGGAAAATGTGTCATATCCTTTTTCCCCACAATTATTCTTGGGCTATGTGATTTGTGGATGGGGTGGCAAGGGGGCCTGTGTAGTTAACAGACGTGGGGAGATTGTGGGCTAGAGAGGTAGGAGGCAAAATTAAGCCCATACAAATAGCTCAGGGATTTAAAAAAAGAAAAACATTTAAAGAAAAAAAACCTCAGCCTTTGCCAAAATAATTTTTATATGATCATTTTCTTGATTTAAATAAATTTATAGCAACGACCAATCACACAGATGTAATGTATATTGTATGTTATATTTCTTGAAATAGAAATTTGATTTTACAATCAATGATGCTTGTGGAAAATTACTTGCTGTTACAACGCTGTGATGTGTGGAATATTTGTGTCTTCTCAGGGAATTTATAGATGAGCTTGATTTTACCAAGACTGTTTATGACAGGTTTTTTTTTTATGATAATGATGCACTTTTATGTTTCAGAAGGTAATTTCTAGTTAATACTGATAATCATCTTGGAGCCCTAGTGACAGGCATGGATTTAAATTCATGATATTAAAGCATCTCAGGCAACTAAAAAGTTAGCATTTTTTTTTTATTATCGTTTCTGTGAAGAATTAGAGAGGGCTGGTAGCTTAGTGGGTAATGAGTTGCACTGCCAACCCAAAGGCAGTTGGTTCAATTGACCAGCTTAATTAAGGGAGAAGATAAGCAGTCTCCTCCCATGTGATTTACTGCTTTGAGGGTCAGTTATGTGTCAGCTTGGACAGCACATAACAACATGAGGAATTAACTTCAAAAATTTTACAAATATTTATCTCCCTGCTCATTTCCTCAGTCTGCACAAACTCACTATCCAAATGGGTAAAGATAGTGAGTTCTGGTGGTGTAGTGGTAAGAAGCTGCATTGCAATCTCAAAGACATATGGTTTGAACCCACCAGCTGCTCTGCAGAAGAATGGGAAAATGGGTAAAGACTTAGCTTTAAAAGGATTCTGTATTATTACTTCTGCGAGCACTAATGTGACTTGATTATCAGCCACTAGTACAGAGAAGACGGTACAACAAACTGATAGGCATGTGGTTGTTAAAATACGGATGAGACTCTTAACTGGAATCAAACCCATGTACTTACATGTTTAAAACATAGCTGACTAAAGCAGGACATAAAAAATTCATAATGTATTTCAGTTATTCATTTCAGAAATTTTTTTAATTTCTAAAATTGGAAAACTGAGTTTTGGTATGTTGACTACACTGAATTGAATTTTGTGCTACCTTTTACACATTGATTATCATAAGTAGGCATGCAAGTCAGTGGATTTCTGTATTTTTTAATTAAATATTGGCATGGCAAGAAACAATATCCCACAGAGAAACACAAATTTTTGCCTTGAAAGTTTCCGAGACCGAGTTGACAAGGGCATTAAATATGTATTTTGTGTCTATTGACTTCTAAACTGTTGTGCTTGGGGTTGCTTTTTTAAAAGCATTTCAAATATTTCTTTCATTCACTTCTGGCATTTTTCTTTCGTTCTAAGACATTCAGTAACACATAGGTATGTGTCTGTCTTTTTTTTTTAACAATATTCATGGTATCTTGGCTCACAGAACTTTTTACTTAGGACATTTTCAAATCCTTACATATGTTGAAACAGTGGTACAGTGATCACCCACAGAATGAAAGATTGGTAACCTGTATTATTTGCTTTCATTTTATATATTATGTTAATTTAGCAAAGTTGAAAACATATTTAGAAACATAAAACAATATTCATGGTATCTTGGCTCATAGAACTTTTTTACTTAGGACATTTTCAAATCTTTACATATGTTGAAACAGTGGTACAGTGATCACACAGAATGAAAGATTGGTAACCTGTATTATTTGCTTTCAGTTTTATATATTATGCTAATTTAGCAAAGTTGAAAACACATTTAGAAACATAAAACTCAAACTTTGGGTGGATGGGGTGAAGGGAATAGGAAGTATATTTTGTGAAAAATAATATATTCAAACTTTGTAAATATATCAGAATAAAATTTTTTAAAAACCAACACAACAAAACAAAGCAAAAAAACCAAAATAGTTGACCGTTCAGCATGTTTAGACGCTATAAATCGTGTGGGAGGAGATTTCCTGCTTTTCTCCCTGAGTCATGGCCTTTGGGCTAGCATCACGACTCCCCACCAGAGCCCCATAATAAGATTTTTAGCAGGAAATTATTAGAAGCCATAAAAATAAAATTAGAAATATATATATTACAATATATATAGTGTTGTTGTTATGTGCCATCTAGTCGCTTGTGACTCATAGCGACCCTATGTACAAGAGTTCTAAACACCATTCTATCCTGTGCCAATCTAGCCATCCCAGATACACTTATTCCCACCACTCCAGTCGCAGAATCGATCCATCTCATCGAAGGTCTTCCTCTCCCTCCACTCTGCCAAACATGATGTCCCTCTCCAAGGACCAGTCCCTCCTTGCAACATGCCCAAAATGTGTCAGATGAAGCTTGAGAATCCTTGATTCCAAGGAGCATTCCGGCTTCACCTTCTTCAGGACAAACTTGTTTGTTCTCCTAGCAGCCCATGGTATATTCAATACTCTTCTCCAGCACCGTAGCTCAAAGGTATCAATTCTCTATCATCCCTAGTCAGTGTCCAACTCTCCAATGCACAGCACATAATTGTGAAGACTATAGCCCTGATCAGGTGCACCTTAGTCTCCAGCCTGACATCGTTGCTCTTCAGTACTCTTGAGAGATCCCTCACAGTTGACTTTCCCAGTGCAGTTTGTCTCTTGATTTCCTGGCTGCTGTTACCAAAAGTGTTGATTGTGGAACCAAGTAAATTGAAACTGTTAACTATCTGAATCTCTTCACCATCCATAGTGATGCTGCAAATTGGCCCAGTGGTGAGAATCTTTGTTTTCTTGATGTTGAGCTCCAAACTATATAGGAGGCTGCAGTCCTTGACCTTCTGTAGCAAGCGCTTCAGGTCCTCCTCAGTTTCAGCAAGCAAGGTTAGAAATATATATATTACAAAACTGATGAAAGGAGGCTTGCTAATGAAGTACTATATCAAAGGAAACATACTACTTTGTAAAGGACAAAGGTTACCAAAAAATTGTTCTTTATTTTACAGGCAATTACCCAGGCTCTTCTCAGGTGAAATAAATAGCTGAGCAATCTTGAAAATGTCTGAGTGTGATTGTTTAAGCATGTTCTTGTGTCATTCTTTGAAAAACAATTATGTGAAATAACAGTGCACTTATTCTAGGAGCTCTTAGGGAGTCCTGGCGGTGGAGGGCATGACAAGTCTTGCTGCTAATCCCAAAGGCAGAGTGACTAGTAGTTTGAATCCACCAAGTGTCTTTGCAGTAGAAAGATGTCTCCTTCCTTAATGCCTTAGAAATATAACAAGGGGAGCTCTGGTGGCCTAGTGGCAAGAAACCACACTGCAATCCCAGAGGAACACGGTTCGAATCCACCAGACACTCTGCTGGAGAAGGAGGCGCAATATCCTCCTGTACCAGTCAGATCTGATTTGACGGTACACGCACACAAAATAAAAAAAATATATGTATAACAAAGGGTTGCTATGTATTGGAATCAATTTGACAGCTGGGAGTTTGAGGTTTAGGGAAACTTGCCACGTTTAGGGAAATTAGCCTGGTGTGTCCACTTGCCGTACAGCCGTAACTTGTGGTTGCTGTGAAGCTGAACACTATGCCACTGACGTGTCAAATGCGTTAATGGTTACCCATGGCGGACAGTGTTTGGTGGAGCTCCCTGATTAAAACAAACTTGGAAGCAGGAGTGACATTTACTTCCATAATAGCTTGCCTCTGGAAACCCTGTGAACCTGGAGAGAGGATGAAAGTCAGACAAGTGTTGAGGACTCTGAGGACTCTCCTTCATAGGGTCGCTATGAGTCACCTACCACTCGACAGCACTTAACAACAACAACAGCCATGTTTTCATAGATTAAGACGCTATAAAAAAAAAAAAAAAGCTGTCCAAACAGCGCAAGGGAACACGGCATGATTTAAAATCAGGAAAGGTGTGCATCAAGGTTGTATTCTTTCTCCATTCCTGTTCAATCTACATGCTGAGGAAATCATTTTGAGAAGCTGGACTATATGAAGAATTTAGCATCAGGATTAGACGAAGACTCAACAATCTGTGTTAAGCATAACCTTGCTTGTGGAAAGGGAGAAGGACTTGAAACACTTGCAGAAGATCAGGCTGAAGCCTTAAATATGGATTGCATCTCAACATCAAGAAGACAAAAAACCTCACCACTGAACCTATATGATAGATGAAACCTAATGATAGATTGAGAAAGGATTGAATTGAAGTTGTCAATGATTTCATCTCACTAGGATCCACAATCAGCACCTTTGGCAGCAGCAGTCAGGAGATAAGAGACATGCTGCTTTAAGCAAATATGCTATCAGGAAACTCCAAATTACAGAAGAGCGATCATGTCAATTTGAAGACTCAAGTGTGCTTGATTCAGGCCATGGTCTTTTCAAGCGTGTGCTATGAACCCGAAAGGTGGACGGTGACTAAGGAAAGCAGAAGAAAAGTCGGCACCTTTGAGCTGTGGAGAAAAGTACTGATTATCGCATGGACTGCCCGGAAAACAGGTATGTCTTGAAGAGTGCAGCCAGAGTGCTCCTTGGAGGCAGGGAGGGCAAAGCTTCATCTCATTTACTTTGAGCATGTTACTGAAAGTTATTCTTTGAAGAGGAACATTGTACTATCAGAGAAAGAAAAGAAGATCTTTGACAAGGTGGATTGGCAGAGTGATTCTAACAATGGACTCAAGTGTG